CAGGTGTAAATGATAATGGGAGCCCTTTGATTGAACTTTGTATAGAAAGGGGTTCAGTTATAGGTAATATATATTTTAAGAAAAAGAGGATAAATAAGTATACAAGATATGATGTAGGGCGAAATGACAGTAGTTTGTTGGATTATGTATTGGTAGATAAAAGACTGTTGAGTAGACTTCAGGATGTACATGTTTATAAAGGGGCCACAGATATATCAGATCACTTTCTAGTTGTAGCTACACTGAGAGTAAATGGTAGATGGGATACAAGGAGAATAGAAACATCAGGGATGAGAGAGGTGAAGGTTTATAAACTAAAAGAGGAGGCAGTTAGGGTAAGATATAAACAGCTATTGGAGGATAGATGGGCTAATGAGAGCATACGCAATGGGGTCGAAGAGGTATGGGGTAGGTTTAAAAATGTAGTGTTAGAGTGTTCAGCAGAAGTTTGTGGTTACAGGAAAGTGGGTGCGGGAGGGAAGAGGAGCGATTGGTGGAATGATGATGTAAAGAGAGCAGTTAGGGAGAAAAAGTTAGCATATGAGAAGTTTTTACAAAGTAGAAGTGATGCAAGGAGGGAAGAGTATATGGAGAAAAAGAGAGAGGTTAAGAGAGTGTGAAGCAATGTAAAAAGAGAGCAAATGAGAGAGTGGGTGAGATGTTATCAACAAATTTTGTTGAAAATAAGAAAAAGTTTTGGAGTGATATTAACAAGTTAAGGAAGCCTAGAGAACAAATGGATTTGTCAGTTAAAAATAGAAGAGGAGAGTTATTAAATGGAGAGTTAGAGGTATTGGGAAGATGGAGGGAATATTTTGAGGAATTATTAAATGTTGATGAAGATAGGGAAGCTGTGATTTCGTGTATAGGGCAAGGAGGAATAACATCTTGTAGGAGTGAGGAAGAGCCAGTTGTGAGTGTGGGGAACGTTCGTGAGGCAGTAGGTAAAATGAAAGGGGGTAAGGCAGCCTGGATTGATGGGATAAAGATAGAAATGCTAAAAGCAGGTGGGGATATAGTTTTGGAGTGGTTGGTGCAATTATTTAATAAATGACTGGAAGAGGGTAAGGTACCTAGGGATTGGCAGAGAGCATGCATAGTTCCTTTGTATAAAGGCAAAGGGGACAAAAGAGAGTGCAAAAATTATAGGGGATAAGTCTGTTGAGTATACCTGGTAAAGTGTATGGTAGAGTTATTATTAAAAGAATTAAGAGTAAGACGGAGAATAGGATAGCAGATGAACAAGGAGGCTTTAGGAAAGGTAGTGGGTGTGTGGACCAGGTGTTTACAGTGAAACATATAAGTGAACAGTATTTAGATAAGGCTAAAGAGGTCTTTGTGGCATTTATGGATTTGGAAAAGGCGTATGACAGGGTGGATAGGGGGGCAATGTGGCAGATGTTGCAGGTGTATGGTGTAGGAGGTAGGTTACTGAAAGCAGTGAAGAGTTTTTACGAGGATAGTGAGGCTCAAGTTAGAGTATGTAGGAAAGAGGGAAATTATTTCCCAGTAAAAGTAGGCCTTAGACAAGGATGTGTGATGTCACCGTGGTTGTTTAATGTATTTATAGATGGGGTTGTAAGAGAAGTAAATGCGAGGGTCTTGGCAAAAGGCGTGGAGTTAAAAGATAAAGAATCACACATAAAGTGGGAGTTGTCACAGTTGCTCTTTGCTGATGACACTGTGCTCTTGGGAGATTCTGAAGAGAAGTTACAGAGATTGGTGGATGAATTTGGTAGGGTGTGCAAAAGAAGAAAATTAAAAGTGAATACAGGAAAGAGTAAGGTCATGAGGATAACAAAAAGATTAGGTGATGAAAGATTGGATATCAGATTGGAGGGAGAGAGTATGGAGGAGGTGAATGTATTCAGATATTTGGGAGTGGACGTGTCAGCGGATGGGTCTATGAAAGATGAGGTGAATCATAGAATTGATGAGGGGAAAAGGGTGAGTGGTGCACTTAGGAGTCTGTGGAGACAAAGAACTTTGTCCTTGGAGGCAAAGAGGGGAATGTATGAGAGTATAGTTTTAGCAACGCTCTTATATGGGTGTGAAGCATGGATGATGAATGTTGCAGCGAGGAGAAGGCTGGAGGCAGTGGAGATGTCATGTCTGAGGGCAATGTGTGGTGTGAATATAATGCAGAGAATTCGTAGTTTGGAAGTTAGGAGGAGGTGCGGGATTACCAAAACTGTTGTTCAGAGGGCTGAGGAAGGGTTGTTGAGGTGGTTCAGACATGTAGAGAGAATTGAGCGAAACAGAGTAACTTCAAGAGTGTATCAGTCTGTAGTGGAAGGAAGGCGGGGTAGGGGTCGGCCTAGGAAAGGTTGGAGGGAGGGGGTAAAGGAGGTTTTGTGTGCGAGGGGCTTGGACTTCCAGCAGGCATGCGTGAGCGTGTTTGATAGGAGTGAATGGAGACAAATGGTTTTTAATACTTGACGTGCTGTTGGAGTGTGAGCAAAGTAACATTTATGAAGGGGTTCAGGGAAACCGGCAGGCCGGACTTGAGTCCTGGAGATGGGAAGTACAGTGCCTGCACTCTGAAGGAGGGGTGTTAATGTTGCAGTTTAAAAGCTGTAGTGTAAAGCACCCTTCTGGCAAGACAGTGATAGAGTGAATGATGGTGAAAGTTTTTCTTTTTTGGGCCACCCTGCCTTGGTGGGAATCGGCCTGTGTGATAATAAAAAAAAATAAAATATAAGACATGTGCAACAACTGGGTGTCTATTGATGAATAAAACACATGAGCAGCTCCTGGGTAACATTTTTGATGAATAAGACACATGTGCAACACCTGAGTATATTGATGAATAAGACATGTGCAACACCTGAGTATATTGATGAATAAGACACATGTGTAACACCTGAGTATATTGATGAATAAGACATGTGCAACACCTGGGTGTCTTTATTGATGAATAAGACATGTGCAACACCTGGGTGTCTTATTGACTAATAAGACACAACACTTGGGTATCTTTATTGATTAATAAGATATAACTCCTGGGTGACTGTTGGTGAGATGTTTCGCCAACCATCAGGGTTTTCATCCACTACAGATATTACATATTAGAGACAGTGAAAGATGTGGAGAGGTTATTGTGAGGTGTTGAGCCCCTCAGTCATAATAAAGAAATTCATTCACTTAGCCTTGACAGGTGTTGTCCCTTAGCTTTGACAGGTCTTCAGTCCCTCATCCTTGATATAAGGTCTACTGGAGCCAGATGAAAGGTGCAGCAGTTGAAGACATCATCACCAGTGGATGGGTCCCACTAGTGGAAGCAAGTCATGTCCTAGAGTTGAACCAGAGGTTAGTAATAAAGTTGTATAATATATCCTGTGTACCAAAATTCTTGGATATCTTCAACTGTATTACTAGTCTCTGGTCTTACTGTTGGATATGATCTACTTCCACTAGTGGGTCCTGCCCACCTGTGATGATGTCTTCAACTGCTGCTCCTCTCCTCTGGCTCCAGTATACAAGTCTATATCCCGGTATTGTATACTGTTATTAATGTAAAAATGTGTTATAACTCTTCATAAATAATCAGTAACATTCTCCAGTGTCAGGTGACTTTCACTCTTCCATCTTCCATTGTATCCTTCTTTAATTTATTTCTCAGCTCTTCATAATGTATTTTTTCTCCTTATATACGTAATATTTGCCCTCCACCTTATCTTAATAATTCTCTCGCTTTCTCTACCTCTTTCTTATTCATACTCTTCTTTCTAACATTTTTTATATCATTTATCATTTTTCTCTTCAGCTTCATTCTCCTTCTTTACACAATTCATCCCTCTATTCTCCTGTCTTTTCTTCTTCGCTTTCTCCTGTAAATGCTTCCTACAACAATGTATATTTATAGACTAACGTCTCATGTAGAGGAATCTGCAGTGAACATTCTCCATCGATGGTAGTGACTGTGAACGACACGATGGAGGAGGACTCGGTGTTGAAGAAGATGTATAGTGACATCAGCGAGTGTGCCAACTCTGTAGTACGACCCAGCAGTTACCAGCGTGGACATTACTGGGTACTGGAGAACTACCTGCCTGCTGCTTACACCTTCCCATGTAACAACACCATTACCTATACTACCCATGCTGACTATACCTTCCTTAACAACCTGGTACCTCTCACAGCTCGCTGGCAGGTTTGTACCTAACACTGTACCTCACACTGTACCTTATACTGTACCTTACACCTTCCCTTGTAACAACACCATTACCTATACTACCCATGCTGACTACACCTTCCTTAACAACCTGGTACCTCTCACCGCTCGCTGGCAGGTTTGTACCTTACACTGTACCTTATACTGTACCTCATACTGTACCTCACACTGTATCTTACACTGTACCTCACACTGTCCCTCATACTGTACCTTGCACTGTACCTTACGCTGTACCTTACACTATACCTTATACTGTACCTCACACTGTATGTTACACTGTACCTAACGCTGTTCCTCATAACGTACATTACACTGTACCTTACACTGTACCTCACACTATACCTTATACTGTACCTTACACCGTCCCTTGTAACAACACCATTACCTACACTACCCATACTGACTACACCTTCCTTAACAACCTGGTACCTCTCACCGCTCGCTGGCAGGTTTGTACCTTACACTGTACCTTACACTGTACCTTACACTGTACCCTACATTGTACCTCACACTGTACCTCACACTGTACCTCACACTGTACCTTACACTGTACCTCACACTGTACCTCACACTGTACCTCACACTGTACCTCACACTGTACCTCACACTGTACCTCACACTGTACCTCACACTGTACCTTACACTGTACCTCACACTGTACCTCACACTGTACCTCACACTGTACCTCACACTGTACCTTACACTGTACCTCACACTGTACCTCACACTGTACCTCACACTGTACCTCACACTGTACCTCACACTGTACCTCACACTGTACCTCACACTGTACCTCACACTGTACCTTACACTGTACCTTACACTGTACCTCACACTGTACCTCACACTGTACCTTACACTGTACCTTACACTGTACCTCACACTGTACCTCACACTGTACCTTACACTGTACCTCACACTGTACCTTACACTGTACCTTACACTGTACCTTACACTGTACCTCACACTGTACCTCACACTGTACCTCACACTGTACCTCACACTGTACCTCACACTGTACCTTACACTGTACCTTACACTGTACCTCACACTGTACCTCACACTGTACCTTACACTGTACCTTACACTGTACCTCACACTGTACCTCACACTGTACCTCACACTGTACCTCACACTGTACCTTACACTGTACCTTACACTGTACCTCACACTGTACCTCACACTGTACCTTACACTGTACCTTACACTGTACCTCACACTGTACCTCACACTGTACCTTACACTGTACCTTACACTGTACCTCACACTGTACCTCACACTGTACCTTACACTGTACCTTACACTGTACCTCACACTGTACCTCACACTGTACCTCACACTGTACCTTACAGTGTACTTCATAATGTATTTTTTGTATCCTTCACTGCTCAGGGAATAGACAAAAAGCACAAGCGTTAGTGAGCAATGTAAATTTGTCAACGAGGTCTGGTCTCAGACCGGGCTGCGGGGGCGTTGACCCCCGAAACCCGCTCCAGGTATACCACCGGTAGTGGGTGGTCTTGTGACGGGGGTTATGATACCACAGGGTTTGGGTGGCCGCCCTGGGCTACATATGTAAAATTCGTCTTTCATAAAAATTAAGAATGACCAATAACGAAAAAGGAATAGGTGTGGTGTTAGTGACTAGTTTGTTTAATTACAATTAAAATAGTCCCAGTGGTGAGGGTGGAGGTCTGACCCGGGTCTAGTGTTGCTCACACCAGCAAGACTGGGTCACCAGATCTCTACAGTGGACAACAATAATAATTATTATAACAAAATCACTGGTAGGTGGCCCCTAGCGAGTGTCATGTGACCGCCTCACCAAGGGACATCAGGCACGCTCCAGGGTGTCCTATGCAACATCCAGGAAGGTTATTAAACACCTTCCCATGCAGTCTGTTTCTCCGGGAGATCAAGGCGCCTGAGACTAGGAAGGTCTAACTCTAGGTGCCTTGGATGAAGTTATCACGGTAGTTACTTGGACCTGACTGAAGGCAGAGCATAACCTCATCAACTTAAGAAACTGGTGTCAGAAGACACCAAACGGTGAACGGATGATCATTTCACATTGACTTGAGGCCACTTCCATCACAAACAAGTGTTATAAAGACTGATATCATGTCAGGAAACGTTCACTCTTATAAATACCTTGGAACTAAGGATCTTTGCAGGTCCGGAACGAGCACACAATCTTTTTCTGAATTACGGGTTCTTAGGTTGACACTCTTACCACACTATCCACAGAGGTAAACAATGAGATTAATAGGTTTAGTTTTTGGATGCGAACTGCGGAGACAAAATCGGGTAAATCAAATTCTCCTTCCGTAAATTGCGCATGAAAGTACAAACTTCGGACATCATGTGGCAGATAAAGCCATTTGTGAACACTGAAACATCTGCATCTAATGTCCCCAACTACGTCTTAAACACCCAACCACCCGAGGACGAGGCGGTGGGTGAGTCTTGGGATCAGGTTGTGCTGCAGCTTTATTGGAGGGGGCCTTCATGATGCGGAGACCGTCCTCGAGTCCGACAAGAACCCGTAAGTACTCGTACTCGTCAAAGGGACCCATAGTGTTAATAGGCACATCATTAACAAGGAATGGTATTCCGAACATACAATATCTTTCTGTACTCATCAACCTTAAGGTTAATTGATCGGCACTTTCCAGCGTTGACTTCAAGACTACCCCCAACCAGGCCGATATGTATAACAACAATAACTATCTGGAGACCATCATGGGTTTTCGCTAGCAGAAGGAGATCATCAGCTTACCTCAGTAGGAATACTTTATCACTGTCCGACTCAACTCGTACTCACAATTCCCTGATCTTTGTAATCGCCTCATCGTTCACAAGGTGAAAAAAGAAGAATTAAATTTAAAGAAGGGATCTTCTCGGAAGTTTCCCTCTGGGCATTGATGACAGTCGAGGCTCCACTGTCGCCACACATTATTAATGTATTGACTGGCACTGGAAGGCCTTTCCTCGATATGCATCAGGTAATAGTGTCATGCAGCTCATTATCGAAAGCCTTTATGACGAGGAATGTCAAGTACATAGCATGGTCGAGCGCATGGGTTTTACCATGGAGCTCATCCATAATTGCCAGGTTTTCAACGAACCCAACTAGAGGATCGAATGCTTTCTGCCTCCTGTTGTTACTGACGGCTACCTCTTATCAAAAGTTCTGGTTACCTGGATCTTACAGAACAGCTGTACCAAGACTGAAGACATGATGACTTGGTCTTTAGTCTTCATTATCAGAAGGGTTGGCAGCTTAGGTATGAGGATCGTCCTATTTGTGCGAAAGGGTTCCAGCAACGATCCCGGGACCATCCACAGATTAATCTTACATAGGGCACTGATGGGGATTGCGTTTAGTATCTGGTAGGTTTTAATGTCAGGCCTGGGGGCAGAAGATTTAATGCTCCTAAATACAGTAAGCACCTCGTCTCTCAACGGCTCCTCAATTTCGGACTATGTGGTTTTATAGAAGCGTGGCAGCTGGTCCAGATAACACTAGGTATTGACACGCAAATGTTCCATCAAACCTTGAAATCTACACCAAATAACACTTGATATTAGCACACAGGTGTGACCTTGAAGTCTACACCATTAAACTTTGGAACCTAGACCAGATACCACTTGGTATTATCACACAAATGTTCCATATTAGCCACTGTCTAACAACTTTCGCAAAATTTATTGCAAAACTTCTTAAATTCTGATGAAATTCATTGCTTCCCGCGTCGGAGTGCCTTCATTTATGTCTTACAATTCTTGAAACCTAAACCAGAACATTATCTCATCAGACCAAAACACTCACATAACGACTGGCCTGGTGTCCCCCACAAGGGAAGCAACTAGATAACTTGCTCCTGATTCAGATATCCATCCGTACCTTAGATCAGACCTGGTTACCTATAATTACCTTAGGATTGTATTAAACTTAAAAGTTTAAAGCTATTATTATAGCAGTATCTTTCTTCAGTATAATGTAATTCATCAGTATAATGATTCTCTATTTTAACAGTGCAGTAGATGAATGATAGTGTAGTATTGTGATCTGGGTTTATGTCGCAGGCTTTCTCAGTCTGCAACCCACAGCCTAGTGTTATTATTGCAGGGACCTGTCAGTGCTGCCGTCTACGCCCCGGGCACAGACTTTGAGAGAGCTGTCGACACCATCATGTATCTCAGAGACTGTATATCAGACGACATAAAAAATCATGTCACATTTCACATGATTTTTGATGTTTCTCATACACCAGAGGTAAGTTGCAGTCATTGTTACTCAGTAGTGAATGATCATGACTCAGTGGTGTATGATCATGACTCAGTGGTGGATGATCATGTCTCAGTGGTGTATGATCATTACTCAGTGGTGTATGATCATTACTCAGTGGTGTATGATCATGACTCACTGGTGAATGATCATGACTTAGTGGTTTATGATCATGACTCAGTGGTGTATGATCATTACTCAGTAGTGTATGATCATGACTCAGTGGTGTATGATCATGACTCAGTGGTGTATGATCATGACCCAGTAGTGTATGATCATGACTCAGTGGTGTATGATCATGACTCAGTGGTGGATGATCATGACTCAGTGGTGTATGATCATGACTCACTGGTGAATGATCATGACTTAGTGGTTTATGATCATGACTCAGTGGTGTATGATCATTACTCAGTAGTGTATGATCATGACTCAGTGGTGTATGATCATGACTCAGTGGTGTATGATCATGACTCAGTGGTGTATGATCATGACCCAGTAGTGTATGATCATGACTCAGTGGTGTATGATCATGACTCAGTGGTGTATGATCATGGCTCAGTGGTGTATGATCATTACTCAGTAGTGTATGATCATGACTCAGTGGTGTATGATCATGACTTAGTGGTTTATGATCATGACTCAGTGGTGTATGATCATGACTCAGTAGTGTATGATCATTACTCAGTGATGTATGATAATGACTCAGTGGTGTATGATCATGACTCAGTGGTGTATGATCATGACTTAGTGGTTTATGATCATGACTTAGTGGTTTATGATCATGACTCAGTGGTTTATGATCATGACTTAGTGGTTTATGATCATGACTCAGTGGTTTATGATCATGACTTAGTGGTTTATGATCATGACTTAGTGGTTTATGATCATGACTTATTGGTTTATGATCATGACTTAGTGGTTTATGATCATGACTTAGTGGTTTATGATCATGACTCAGTGGTTTATGATCATGACTTAGTGGTTTATGATCATGACTCAGTGGTTTATGATCATGACTTAGTGGTTTATGATCATGACTTAGTGGTTTATGATCATGACTCAGTGGTGTATGATAATGACTTAGTGGTTTATGATCATTACTCAGTGGTTTATGATCATGACTCAGTGGTTTATGATCATGACTTAATGGTGTATGATCATGACTCAGTAGTGTATGATCATGACTCAGTGATGTATGATCATGACTCAGTGGTGTATGATCATTACTCAGTAGTGTGTGATCATTACTCAGGGGTGTATGGTAATGACTCAGTGGTGTATGATCATGACTTAGTGGTTTACGATCATGGCTTAGTGGTGTATGATCATGACTCAGTGGTGTATGATCATGACTTAGTGGTTTATGATCATGGCTTAGTGGTGTATGATCATGACTTAGTGGCTTATGATCATGGCTTAGTGGTGTATGATCATGACTCAGTAGTGTATGATCATGACTCAGTGTTGTATGATCATGACTCAGTGGTGTATGCTCATGGCTCAGTGTATGATCATGACTCAGTGGTGTATGATCATGACTCAGTAGTGTATGATCATGACTCAGTGGTGTATGATCATGACTCAGTGGTGTATGATCATGACTCAGTTGTGTAGGATCATGACTCAGTGTATGATCATGACTTAGTGGTGTATGATAATGACTCAGTAGTGTATGATCACGACTCAGTGGTGTATAATCATGACTCAGTGGTGTATGATCATGACTAAGTGGTGTATGATCATGACTCAGTGGTGTATGATCATGACTCAGTGGTGTATGATCATGACTCAGTAGTGTATGATCATTACTCAGGGGTGTATGGTAATGACTCAGTGGTGTATGATCATGACTTAGTGGTTTATGATCATGGCTTAGTGGTGTATGATCATGACTCAGTAGTGTATGATCACGACTCAGTGGTGTATAATCATGACTCAGTGGTGTATGATCATGACTAAGTGGTGTATGATCATGACTCAGTGGTGTATGATCATGACTCAGTAGTGTATGATCATTACTCAGGGGTGTATGGTAATGACTCAGTGGTGTATGATCATGACTTAGTGGTTTATGATCATGGCTTAGTGGTGTATGATCATGACTCAGTAGTGTATGATCATGACTCAGTGGTTTATGATCATGACTTAGTGGTGTATGATAATGACTCAGTAGTGTATGATCACGACTCAGTGGTGTATAATCATGACTCAGTGGTGTATGATCATGACTAAGTGGTGTATGATCATGACTCAGTGGTGTATGATCATGACTCAGTGGTGTATGATCATGACTCAGTGGTGGATGATCATGACTCAGTGGTGTATGATCATGACTCAGTAGTGTATGATCATGGCTTATTGGTGTATGATCATGACTCAGTGGTGTATGATCATGACTCAGTGGTGTATGATCATGACTCAGTAGTGTATGATCATGACTCAGAGGTGTATGATCATGACTCAGTGGTGTATGATCATGAGTCAGTAGTGTATGATCTTGACTCAGTAGTGTATGATTATGACTCAGTGGTGTATGATCATGACTCAGTAGTGTATGATCATGACTTAGTAGTGTATGATCATGACTCAGTAGTGTATGATCATGACTCAGTAGTGTATGATCAAGACTCAGTGGTGTATGATCATGACTCAGTGGTGTATGATCATGACTTAGTAGTGTATGATCATGATTCAGTGGTGTATGATCATGACTCAGTAGTGTATGATTATGACTCAGGGGTGTATGATCATGACTCAGTAGTGTATGATCATGACTCAGTAGTGTATGATCATGATTCAGTGGTGTATGATCATAACTCAGTGGTGTATGATCATGACTCAGTAGTGTATGATCATAACTCAGTAGTGTATGATCATGACTCAGTGGTGTATGATCATTACTCAGTGGTGTATGATCATGACTCAGTAGTGTATGATCATTACTCAGTGGTGTATGATCATGACTCAGTGGTGTATGATCATTACTCAGTGGTGTATGATCATGACTCAGTAGTGTATGATCATAACTCAGTGGTGTATGATCATAACTCAGTGGTGTATGATCATGGATCAGTGGTGTATGATCATAACTTAGTGGTGTATGATCATAACTTGGTGGTGTATGATCATGACTTAGTGGTGTATGATCATGACTCAGTGGTGTATGATCATAACTTAGTGGTGTATGATCATAACTTGGTGGTGTATGATCATAACTTAGTGGTGTATGATCATGACTCAGTGGTGTATGATCATAACTTAGTGGTGTATGATCATGACTCAGTGGTGTATGATCATAACTTGGTGGTGTATGATCATGACTTAGTGGTGTATGATCATGACTCAGTGGTGTATGATCATAACTTAGTGGTGTATGATCATAACTTAGTGGTGTATGATCATGACTCAGTGGTGTATGATCATAACTTAGTGGTGTATGATCCTGACTCAGTGGTGTATGATCATAACTTAGTGATGTATGATCATGACTCAGTGGTGTATGATCATAACTTAGTGGTGTATGATCATGACTCAGTGGTGTATGATCATAACTTAGTGGTGTATGATCATGACTCAGTGGTGTATGATCATAACTTAGTGGTGTATGATCATGACTCAGTGGTGTATGATCATAACTTAGTGGTGTATGATCATAACTTAGTGGTGTATGATCATGACTCAGTGGTGTATGATCATAACTTAGTGGTGTATGATCATGACTCAGTGGTGTATGATCATAACTTAGTGGTGTATGATCATGACTCAGTGGTGTATGATCATAACTTAGTGGTGTATGATCATGACTTAGTGGTGTTATCCTCTATGTTGCGTATCTGACACTAAAATATATTTATTTACTCAGGTTGTAATGCCAACAGAAAGTTACATTATTTTTCCTTTTGTTAACACTGAGTCTTGGTGATGATGTTACCACTAGAAGTTATGATGACTGATGTAGTTTCCTCTACTACTACACGTAATAGAAGTAATTATCTCTACTACTTTTAGTATTAGAGGTAATTACGTCTACTATATTAGGCTTCAGTTACATCTTGTCCGTATTATACAGATTACGATCTTGTATACGACACTGGCAATAACGTGCAATACGGGATGGAGCTGATACAGTCATTCACTTGTTAACAACTTATGGTGTAATGTTGAACCTACATGACGCTATGTTGTTTCACATGATATGTGCCGCTGTTCACTAAACTCGGGCAAAATCTAAAATATGTATTTTATTATGTATCGTTTCTTCTCAATGATATAAACAGAACAGACAAGCTCTGCTAATATTACTTAATGCATTGTGGCTGTGTATGGTGCAGGTACCGCCGGCGGAGGAAGTGCTGACCAGGAAGAGTGAGTGTTCTCAGCAGGTGAACCTGAGCTCAGTGAGCACTTACCGTTACCAACAAGGACTCTTGTACCCTGTCAACGTGGCCAGGAACACCGCCAGACTGGCTGCCAAAACTTACTTTGTTCTGCCTTCAGACATTGAACTCTATCCTTCCATCAACTTTATACCAGGTGAGTTAATGATTATTATTATTATAATCAAAGGGGAAGCGCTAAACCCGGAGGATTATACAACGCCTGGTGGGGGGATGTGGAAGGCATTCAGGTTTAATTTGGGGAACTGGAGCACAGATCCAATTCCGTAAATCAAGAGCCCCTCACCAACATCAAGGAACCTTCCTTGAGGGGTGGTGAGTTAATGAGAGGGAGACAAAAGAGGGAGGAAGAGAGGGAAGAAGAGAAAGAGGAAGAGAAGGAAAGAGGGAGCAAGGAAGGAAGAATAGTTAATTTATATATATTTTTTGCATTCTATTGATACTTGAATATGTATATAAATATTCTCTCATTAAATATTCTTATGCATTGATTCAAATATAGATTTAACATAATACATTTATAGTAATTCATTTCACATTATCAGTTTTCATATCACATATATAAACATACATTTTGTACACATGTACTCATTGTCTTGTACTCGAGTGAGTACCAGCTTTATTCTACCTTCACTTCTTAACATTTCTTATCATTCGTGAATTTCTCAGTACAAAAAAATATGTATGTATATACATTCACGAATACAAATATAGTTTTAATAAGACATTAAAGTACATTAAGATGGTGGTGGGCACCGCTGACAGTAACCTCTTGTGCTTCAGATTTCTTCGAGATGATGGAGAAGAAAGACTGGTCGAGCACCACCAAGCCTCGAGTGTATGTTCTTCTAAGTTATGACATAAAGAATAACAGTAGTTTACCGTCCACCAAGAATGACCTCAGACACCTGGTTCTCACTGGGGAAGCTCACCCCTTGTACATCCCCTCATCTTCAACCTCTCATACTAATTATTTCCCACAGGTATATCCTCATGTCTTAACTCATGGTAACATGACACTTTTCTTGTGCATTACATAACGTCAGAACGTTTTCAACCACGTAATAAAATTGTCGTTACTGTTAGTTGTTATATATATATATATATATATAATATATATATATATATATATATAATATATTATATATATATATAATATATATATATATATTATATATTATATATATATATATATATATATATATTATATATATATATATATATATATATAACAACAATTACTTCATTATAAGTCTCTTAAAGTGCGTCTTTATTAACTACTTTATTTTAAAAGTAAATATAAAATAATGTACTTAAAAGTAACCCATAATACTGTTAAGATATATTTTAAGAGTGCTCAGACCGTTGTTTTCTCGACAGGACTGGATTAATCGTCCCGGAAACTCAGATATGTCAGTGATTCAAGTGGGTGAGATAGGTTCCCAGTACAGCAGGTGGGAGCCCGTGTACGTGGGTACCAACGCTGAGCCCCTGTATGATGAACGTCTGTATTGGGAGGGCAAGAAAGATAGGATGATACAGGTGGGTCCAACACTTTCACACTCACTTACCATCGTACAGAATGAAGGTAGAAAGTGAGGTAGGATATAGTGATATAGGATGAAGGTAGGTATACTGGGTGTTGAGTTTGATGTTTGGTAGACTGTAAAGCAAGGTGGCAGGTGCTAGGGTATACAGTATACTCAGTGTATAAGGAGTGTAGGTAAACAAGACTCGGTGTTAGTTATCTTAGTAATTTGTTTGGAGAGATCCAGATGTTTACAGAGGCTAAGCTGACTTTAATCTTGTTCGTAGTGCTCATAAAATTACAACTGTAATAATTAGAACAAAAATCTAAAAAGAACTTAAGTTCCATTGAATTTATATACTTTATACTGAGCTTAGATATTAACTTTGTTTCTAATAAGGGATTTAAATTGTTTTATACATTCTTGTGAGCTCATTCTTAAACTGTGTTTATATCTGAAAGTTATTGAGAAATATGGTACAGCTATGTGCAAATTATTAGTGTTTATATATTGACTGTCTTAAACCATTGAGACTGAGCTTAAACCATTGAGACTGAGCTTATAAACTGTAACTTAGAATAAGTTCTTACATTATAGTCTTTTATGTTCGTGTATTTCACACACTAATATATATTCTTCCCTATATTGAGTGTCTTATTTCTTATTAGATCCATGTGCAACACCTGGTTACAGTAGGCCTACTGCAGCAGGTTACAGTAGGCCTACTGCAGCAGGTTACAGTAGGCCTACTGCGGCAGGTTACAGTAGGCCTACTGCAGCAGGTTACAGTAGGCCTACTGCAGCAGGTTACAGTAGGCCTACTGCGGCAGGTTACAGTAGGCCTACTGCAGCAGGTTACAGTAGGCCTACTGCAGCAGGTTACAGTAGGCCTACTGCAGCAGGTTACAGTAGGCCTACTACAGCAGGTTACAGTAGGCCTACTGCAGCAGGTTACAGTAGGCCTACTGCGGCAGGTTACAGTAGGCCTACTGCGGCAGGTTACAGTAGGCCTACTGCAGCAGGTTACAGTAGGCCTACTGCGGCAGGTTACAGTAGGCCTACTGCAGCAGGTTACAGTAGGCCTACTACAGCAGGTTACAGTAGGCCTACTGCAGCAGGTTACAGTAGGCCTACTACAGCAGGTTACAGTAGGCCTACTGCAACAAAGATAATCAGGTGTTACACGTGTCTTATATTAGTTGATACTAAATCCCTTTAGATGTAACAATATCATATGTCTCTAGATTTTATTTTTAGTTAAAAACTTTCCACTGCCAACACTGCCAACACTGCCAACACTGCCAACACTGCCAACACTGCCAACACTGCCAACACTGCCAACACTGCCAACACTGCCAACACTACCAACACTGCCAACACTGCCAACACTGCCAACACTGGTCTGGTTTAACTTCTATATTCAGTGCAAGAGTATTTTTAATTGCAGTAGCAGTGTTCACATTAAACTAACTTATTTCTTCAATAATCTCAGTGTTTTATTTGTGATTATGTTTGGTCAGATGTATGCACTTTGTCTCAGCGACTACGAACTTCACATACTGGACACCGCTTTCATGGTGCGTCCTCCTGGCCACCAGCAAGAGGTGGTGTCCAGTTCTTGCTACCAGCAGGAGGTGGTATCCAGTCCTGGCCACCAGCAGGAGGTGGTGTCCAGTCCTGGCCACCAGCAGGAGGTGGTGTCCAGTCCTGGCCACCAGCTGGAGATGGTGTCCAGTCCTGGTCACCAGCAGGAGGTGGTGTCCAGTCCTGGCTATCAGCACGATGAGCTTCTTCAGAGTGGCTGGGTGGAGAGCAAGCAGTGTACACTCATCATGGAAGAAGTTATTCTTCAGTACAACACGGTCTTTGGACACAAGAACATTTGTTCCGTGTTTTTCGATTGAAGAACATGTGTAAATGCGTGTAGCTAAAAGAGAATGATTGAAGACGATACATTTATTTTCTGGAAGTGTTTTAAGAAATACAATACTTTTTAATGAGTGAAATCTTACGTGCACTCTACTTGTAAGCAAGTGACAAAGTTAATATTAATATTTTTACATGAAAAAAGACGTGTTCAAACATTGAGGATGTTCACTATACTGAAAAGTATAGGACAGTTATCTTCCTTGGTGACGAGTGGGAACTTTACCACTATCAGTGGTTTATGAGATAGGAAGTGCTGATGTAGTGTGAACTTTACAATATCAGAATCAAAGAAACTTGTAAGTTAGTTGTGAGAGCAGCAAATGTTATTCCTGCACTTGAACTATCAAGTGGCGGTTGAGGGCATCACTGAGGGTGATTTCTCTGCCATGTGGAAAGACATTTAGAGAGCGAGTGATCCTGAATGTGAACCAAACACAACATATGTACCATAATTTTCTCCCCAGTTGTCCTGACACAAGTGGCCAGCCATCATAATTCAAATGATTCACCGAAATGTATCATTTTCACGCAGCCTTGCAGAGAGCATTCACTGCACCCTTTACAGTCTTGCTTAATGACCATGCTGACGTCCCATCGCTAAAGCTACAGTAAGACAAAATATCACTATCAGTCAAAAAGAAATAAGTGAACGGTTTTTAAAAATCACTTTAGATGGGTTAAAAACTTTAGCAAGTGAACATATATCGCTAAGAATTTAGATCCGGATAAAATAATCCCAAAATTTACAGCTGCAGGGTCCGAAATTTCAACGAGTGTCTGTACTGAAATGGTGCTGAGGGACTGATCAAAACTGCTCAAGAGTGATGGACTGATTACATCGTCTCTACACCTTCACTGCTTCTGCTACGTCCTTTGTACTTGACTGTAGAAGCCTACTGTGTAGGCGAAACGTTTCGGAATAAAGATACCTAACTGTTGCACACGTGTCTTACTTATCAACTTGTTATATTCAACCCTCTCTTTTTATTTTTAGTTAAAAAACTTTATATTAAAAATGAGTTGGGGGGGGGGAGGTTTAGCACAAGGAAAATTGTCTGAGAGCGCTACAAGATATGAGCTGACCATGACCCTTCATTGATGTTAACTCACACTATGTAGGGACATAAAATGTCATAACCCACTTGACTATTCAGTTCAATATAACATCCTTACACATACCTGCTGAATACTCAACCTCTTAATTCTCAAAATCTATTTCACTCTAACTTTTTTCTGGGAAGTTCACTTCAGACCACCTCAGTATACGCTCACTTGGTCAAACTACCTTGTTCTATCCTTTCTAAATGACTCGGTTATCTCAATCAACCCTCTTCAGCTCTCTCAGCCATATCCTTCACACTTCCATAATATCTTCTAGTTTCTTCATTGCCTATTCTGAGTTACTGACACAAAAACATTTATCTTAAAGATGATATTTTGACTGCCTCCAGCCTCCTCCTTGTAGTAACACCCAAGGTGTTTATAAATGTGTCAGCTTGTCTGTAAGGGTGTCAGCTAGCTTGTATGCATGTCATTTCTGTATGTCATCTAGCCTGTATGTTTGTTAGCTCCAGTGTATGTGTCCGTCAGCCTGTATATGTGTCCTCTATCCTTGGGGACTCTGGTGGCTAAAGCTCTCGCTTCACACGGCAAGTGTCTGTGTTCGAGTCCCAACCAGGGTGGAAACATTGGGTATGTTTCTCTGCACCTGTTGTCTATGTTCACCCATCAGTAAATGGGCACCTGGGTGTTAGTCGACTGGTGTGGGTCGCATCCTAGGACACTGACCTAATTTGCCCGAAATGCTCAGCATAACAAGAGGCTTTCTATATAGTAGTAAGTCATTGATGTTAGCTAGGACTGTATACCATATACTTGTAGTAAATAAAGATATTATTATATATTATGTATGTCAGCTAGACGTCATATGTGTATGACGGTGGTAATGGCAAGTCTTAATTTTGCTGTGAGTAGTTACATGTTCGTTTTCTCACATATTTTATAGCATTTTAAATTCCAGTTTTAGAGTAAATACCAGAGACGTATGTTTACAGTGTGCAAAAAAAAAAAAAAGCAAAAATTATCAATGTGTTTTCTTTCTTCTGAAATTACGACCTGACGTTACCACTAGTCCAGAGGTGACTTGACAGTCTGGACCGGACAGTGAATGACAGTCCAGAGGTAACTTGACAGTCTGGACCGGACAGTGAATGACAGTCCAGAGGTGACTTGACAGTCTGAACCGGACAGTGAATGACAGTCCAGAGGTGACTTGACAGTCTGGACCGGACAGTGAATGACAGCGTGAGTTAGACAGTGAACCATCCTCGCTACAGAACTACAGATCAGTGAACCATCCTCGCTACAGAACTACGGATCAGTGAACCATCCTCACTACAGAACTACAGATCAGTGAACCATCCTCACTACAGAACTACAGATCAGCGAACCATCCTCGCTACAGAACTACAGATCAGTGAACCATCCTTGCTACAGAACTACAGATCAGTGAACCATCCTCACTACAGAACTACAGATCAGTGAACCATCCTCGCTACAGAACTACAGATCAGTGAACCATCCTCACTACAGATCAGTGAACCATCCTCGCTACAGAACTACAGATAAGTGAACCATCCTCGCTACAGAACTACAGATCAGTGAACCATCCTCGCTACAGAACTACAGATCAGTGAACCATCCTCACTACAGAACTACAGATCAGTGAACCATCCTCACTACAGATCAGTGAACCATCCTCGCTACAGAACTACAGATCAGTGAACCATCCTCGCTACAGAACTACAGATCAGTGAACCATCCTCACTACAGAACTACAGATCAGTGAACCATCCTCGCTACAGAACTACAGATCAGTGAACCATCCTCACTACAGAACTACAGATCAGTGAACCATCCTCACTACAGAACTACAGATCAGTGAACCATCCTCGCTACATAACTACAGATCAGTGAACCATCCTCACTACAAAACTACAGATCAGTGAACCATCCTCGCTATAGAACTACAGATCATTGAACTATCCTCACTACAGAACTACAGATTAGTGAGCCATCCTCGCTACAGAACTACAGATTAGTGAACCATCCACGTTACAGAACTACAGATTAGTGAACCATCCTCGCTACAGAACTACAGATTAGTGAACCTTCCTCGCTAAAAGAACTACAGATCAGTGAACCATCCTCACTACAAAACTACAGATCAGTGAACCATCCTCGCTATAGAACTACAGATCATTGAACTATCCTCACTACAGAACTACAGATTAGTGAACCATCCTCGCTACAGAACTACAGATTAGTGAACCATCCACGTTACAGAACTACAGATTAATGAACCATCCTCGCTACAGAACTACAGATTAGTGAACCATCCTCGCTAAAAGAACTACAGATCAGTGAACCATCCTCACTACAAAACTACAGATCAGTGAACCATCCTCGCTATAGAACTACAGATCACTGAACTATCCTCACTACAGAACTACAGATTAGTGAACCATCCTCGCTACAGAACTACAGATTAGTGAACCATCCACGTTACAGAACTACAGATTAGTGAACCATCCTCGCTACAGAACTACAGATTAGTGAACCATCCTCGCTACAGAACTACAGATTAGTGAACGATCCACGTTACAGAACTACAGATTAGTGAACCATCCTCGCTACAGAACTACAGATTAGTGAACCATCCTCGCTACAGAACTACAGATCAGTGAACCATCCTCGCTACAGAACTACAGATTAGTGAACCATCCTCGCTCAAGGTACTTTATCAAACAGGTATTTTTAATAGTTGTTTGTAATAATTTTTGGTGACTTACGACGCCAGATAATTTATTACTGTCTCGTGATAAGTATTCACACCTGTGGTGCGGTCATTCTCTTAAGTCTGCTGGATATTATCATATATCTGCATATTTTCACTTATTTGGTGCTTGTAGCTGTGATGTAGAAGGTGTATGTGATAGTGTAGTATTGCTGTGATGCAGTTGCCGTTGTTAGGATATTTTTGACTCGCGTCTGAGTACCAGTGCACTCAGCACACTGGCTGGGAGTGATTATGTCGACTTGACTTTTCTTTCAAATCGCACAGTAAGACAAAATTCACAGCAACCAGTTAAGTGACGTGGATAATGGGAACTTTCAAAACGAGGGAAATAGTGCCAGTGGTGACACTATTCAAATATCTCATGTTCTCTTTCTTAGAATATTCAGTGTTGACGACCCTGGTCAAGGCACGAGAGATATCAGAACCGGAACAAATACAAATACCACCCCTATACAGCCAAAAAAAAAGTATTTAAATTACTTGGAACTCCTCGTGGTAATAAATATAAATTTATTGGAGTAGAGGAGAGAGATACATTATAACATATACTTGAGGACCTAGTTCTAAATCTGCACATTGTTACAACAATATAATGTAGATATATGGGAAGTGAAATTAAACCCAGTGATACGCCAGGGCACTGTGGGCACAGTAAAAGAACGCTGTATCAACATCTGTGATCCTAGATTATTCAACATCTGACCAGAAGATATTGGAACACTGCTGGGACAAGTACCTCCATCAAGTGCCGTATCAACCAGGCTGTGATGGATATGTGGGCCAGTGGGCAGCCAGCAGCAACAACTTGGTTGATCAGACAAGCACCAGACAAGGCTGGCCCAGGGCCGGGCTCCAGTAATAGAAAAATTCTTGAAACTCATCAAAGGTAAAAGTGTGTGGGTACCAGTACACAGTATGACTTGTGTGGGTACCAGTACACACACAGTATGACTTGTGTGGGTACCAGTACACACACAGCATGACTTGTGTGGGTACCAGTACACACACAGTATGACTTGTGTGGGTACCAGTGCACACACAGTATGACTTGTGTGGGTACCAGTATCATGTGGGAGTTCGATACGTGAATTAGGGTAGAAATACTCACGTAGGCTGTTATACGTATAATTACTGATATGTGGACAGAGCCCGCAGCCGTACCTATCTCCTTGGTTACACTCGTAAAACTGACCAGGCGGCTGGCCAGTACCCCGTAGTGGGTGTTTTGAAATAGTGTCAGCTCAGCACAATATGAACGACCGTGACTCAAGACGGTTGGTCGTTGAGTCAACGGACAGGTTACTGGTAACTGGTTACTGGTAACTGGTTACTACTACTGAGAGCTCGGCGACGCTAACGTAGTCGCCCCCGACATATAATTTAATACAAACTAGAGATGGCAGGTATACGGCTTGGCTGATTCTATACAATGTCAAAGTACACAACATGAAACATTATATATATAATTAGAACATTGGAATGAAAGCTTACGTAACTGAAACTGTAATGCAATACGAGTTATACTATAGTACAACTTAAAACTCAACAAATGAACAACGAACTCAACTTTGGAGATTACAAGTGATAAAAACAAAAATTTTTGATCGATCGATCTGTATTCGTGTGATCAAACGGATTCTGAGGAAGGAATATATACAAAGAAAGAGTGTTTAACAGAAGGCAGATTCGGTGCACGCAAATCTAGACTGTTAACTCTCAAAAAGCGGAAGACATGAAACACAAAAAAAAATCTTGAATACTGAAAAGTTGATACTATAACTATTCATCTATACAGTTATTTACATTTAACCCAACTCTGCTAGGGTAAGATTGGCATATGCAGAATGGGTGTCATCATTTAGGAGGATCAAACTCTGTAGCATTGGCTAACTCATGCTGCTTTTGAGGCAAATCTGAATTGGGAAGTTACAATAATACTTGAGGATTTCTCAAAAACCTGTCGTGTACGTAGGGAATAACGACATTCAGGTTGATCATCTGACTGAGTATCAGAGGAAGAGAGTACAGGATCAGGAGGATTGTCAGAGTCTGTCACATTAGTCTGGGTTGGAACATCATA